GAATTTTTTCAAAAGTTGCTTCCGCTTGTGAAAAGTTCTGCTCAAGTCTTGGCTATTGAACAGCGAAAATCGCAGGTCTCTATCTCATTCCTATCAAAAGTTATTCAAAAAGTGGCATCCGGCACTGTATTTTGGTATGGATAGTAATACTTGTCTCTTTACAATCAACTTCAACGTCAAACAAAACAAACAGAGCATCTCTCCATTTTGTTGCTTTACAAGCGAAACTCATGACAAGCGCACGAGAGCGACTTGTCGCTAGGAAAACAATGACTGATATCAGTTTTTGTTTTGCAATAATTAAATCTATAAAAGAATATTAACTTATCAAAATAATTGGTATTTCTTTATAACTTGTTGAAGCGTTCGTTGCCTTCAGACCGCCGTCCGTTGCAGTGACAATGGAACCATAGTAAAAAAATATGTGATTCTCAGGGAAGTATACAGTAACATCGAACAGAGTGAGAGGAGAGAAGAACAAAGCCTTCTTAGATTCTCTCAGTCATAGAAACCAGAGCTAATGTCCTTGAGAATGCTATATAAATTTTTCAAATACTATTTCTTCGTTTAAAGGGCAATACACGTTTCTATCGTACAGCTGTGATGAATTTTGTCGTACTTAATTTTCTTTCTCGTACTTAAAAGTTAAACTGAGCCTTAATTATGAATTTTTTTGAGGATTGTATTTGGTATTTGTAGATTTGTTTGCGTTATCTTTAGTTTCATTCTATTTATAAAGAAAATACCATCTCAAACGCTTGTGTTGTGCACATGAACATATCATAAATGACGTCACATGAGTTTCACCAACAACTCTAACAGAATGAGAAAAAATATGTAGTTCTATTATCTCATCTAGAAATAAATACTAGCAGAAATGTATAGAATTCGTATATTTGTTGGTTTTTGTGACGTTTTCATGTAGTAGCAGTTCGTACTATGTTGTATTTCCACAATCTTCTAACGCATTTCTTAATAAAGTGTAACTTAATCGAAGAAGTAGTCAGTTTTGGAGTACAACTCGGCGCATAGGATCAGGTCCATCACTACGGTTGTTGAACGAAAACTAGTTTCATTGACAAATGGAAAACGATGGTTTTTCGGGTAGCAATATGTGTTTGTTTATTAGTGAAGTTTTCCTTCAGATTTACATGATGTTTTTGCTGTATGAATTTTATTTAACGATGCCTGTGAAGTATATGATTTTCTTGCAGCGATTGTTGTATGTGCTAATGCATTTGATGACATAGTTTAAAGAGAAACCATTGAATGTTCGAAGAAACTACAATTTTATGTGTAAAACGAAGTTTTGTACCGGACTGTGTTAGTAACAATTCTATGCACATTTTCATCATCACCTTCTATTGATGAAGACATATCGACCACTGTACATGCATGCTGACAGTTTTCTCACAGGCTACGAATGCTATATATACCTTCCTGGTCAAGTCAACATAAATATTTTACTTGAATAATCAATGTGAACAGGTGCTGTACAAGCGATGCTTTTAACAGAAATAATTTTTTATCTAAATCTTATAAATAATTATTACCATCAGCAGTTAGTGGTTCGCGACTATTTTAAATTGATTCCTAAACAGTTAGCTCAAATTGTCTAAGTAACCTTTAGCTTATACATTATACAGTTCGACGTTTTCCAATTCATTAAAAGTTGAAGAATACGCAGCATCCGAATATTTTTTTCTAGCCACTAACGTATGAAGAGAAATATTTTGATCTGAAGTCGTTAATGTATTAGAAATACCATTAATTAAACGATCTTTTTCGCCATTGTCCCCAATGGTATTTGATAAAGTAAATTCTTTGTCAATTAATTATTTTTATGTCTGCAATTTAAGAAAACAGTATACAATCGAGTTAAATACATTCAGCGAATTCACGCTACTGTCTTACGTCCTAAGATTCCTCATAATTTCAATTGTAAGTCTCATCTCTTAGTCGATATTTTTACACATGAATCTATTGGGAAATAACAACATCAGTAACTAGAAACTGCAGTGATCAGAGCACAGATATGGATGGAAAATTTCTATTATTCAATCCAAAAAAATTAGTATTTCACGTCTTATAATCTAAAATAGTTAATATAGGACAGATCGGATACTTCCGACAGGTTTTAGTATTGTTTGTTATTTCTTTCAGTAACAATAACAAAAGAAAAATATTTACTACAAAAAGACATAGATTATCATTTATTTCGTACACAAAGCAACGCTGTTGCTCAGTCAACAACAACGGAAAAAATAGATCGCAAAGAAAAACAAAATATGGAGTAATGAAAAACAAGTAGAATATAAAGAAAGTATGTAGAAAATCTGACATGAAAGAATTAATCCACATAAAAACAAACAAAAAAATATCTGAGAAAACTGGACTAGTTTTCGAATACAAGCTATGTACACACATTTCCTGAGTTTTGATCTGAGAGAAAGAGAAAAAGTGCTCAGTTATACATTATAACAAAAACAAAGCAAGTAAAAAAGGAATAAATTTGGTGTGTTGGTAAAAGACTATCTGAAATTGAATATTAATTTAACTACAAAACGATTTCTAATAATATGAAAAATATTCTTTTAATCTATGTAAGAAACTTTATCACTAGACGGATGTTTCTGAATTTAATTTAAGAATAAATTTATTTTGTTTATGATCAAAATAATCTTGTTTCAATTGAATTTTTGGCAATTGGTTAAATGTACACATTAATTGTATATCTTCATATTTTAAGATGAGTAATAAATTAGCATGTATTGAACGATTTAATTGTTTATCACATATAATAAGCCACTGTTGATTTTGAGGTTGCTGTTCTTGCTGAGAAGATATGGTCATTGACGTTTGTTCAGTTTGTATTAAATAACGTTCGAGAAATGCACGTGGTGAAATATCGTACGAGAGACACCTAGACAAATGATAAATGATAGATTCACGAGTATAATACGGCTGTTGACGAGTAATACGTAAATATTTTTGTAATGAATGTGACATAGATGAGAATACAGCCTATAAAAAGAGTTATAATGAGATTAGAAAAATGTTAAATTGTATGTTGTGAACGGATCATAGATAGTAGAGCTGTAACTTTGCAAAACGGATCACAAATTCACCTCGGATCTCAAGCAAATTCAACAGTCTTAAAATATTTCCAGTACGCATGCTGTCGGTCACCGGCTGGCACCCGTACCCAGCAAGTGCCGAACCAGTGCCAAATGGTATCCGTGCGCACCAGTACCGATATATTTTTTTAACAAAAAGTGCCGCACTGGCAAAAATCAGTGTCGTGCTGAAATTTATTTAATCAATTTAATTAGTTTTTTATTATAGTTGTTTATACTGAATTTTGTATTAGAATGTGGCACTGATCAGTATCACATTGACATGCCAAAATCATGCGGCATTGCCTCGGCACTTCTCTTATGAGAAGGAAAAGATGAAGTTAGAAAGACATTCAAAATATTAGAAGTAGATTATGGTGTTAATATAGACAGAAATTGACAAAACAAAATGGTGATTGAAAACAAAACTTCGGTACTGGTGCGAGATTTTTACATTCTTTCTGGCACCGATGCGTATCGGTGACCAGAAAAAAAATTATTCAGAATCGGTGTGCATCCGTGCACAACCAGTACCGATAAAATATTTTTTTCTAGGGTTGTGTAATAATACGTAGTCTTTTCTATTTTCTTTACAGGTAATATATATGTTCTATTCAATAATTGCTGCTTGTTGTCGAAGTAGAAAAAATATATTTAAAAAATTACTTTGTGATGAGTGTAAACGGTTCTTATAAAGACTATTATTTACTTGTGCTGCTTCTCTTGAATCCATTGGGATATGAGAACCTCTTTCATCGTGACATTTTTTAACATGAGTAAATGCATCTTCACATGCTACCAACAATTTTGTACGACGTTTTCTCACACGACGTTCATATTCTAATTCATCATAGAATCTAAAATAAAATACATTTTTCTAATTTTAATTTCTCTTGTTATAATGTGAACATGTTAATCATGAAGTTTCAACTCGTCTTTCTTTTGTTGTACTACCGTTCATTATATGGTCGACTATGTGATATAATTGTGGTCGGTATCGTTGTTTGCGTTTGATCAACATTATAAATTTTAAAGTTTAAATTTGTTGATTGACTATTCATTGATTTTGTCGAATAATTTCTAAAGCCACCATTACGTCTCGTTCGTTGTTGAGCATTTTCTAACCATGGATTATATTGTGGAAAATCTCTATAATACAATTCAAGTAAATAGATACCAGCTTCTTGAAGTGACATGGAACCTAGACAAAAAAACATGATCATAAATTTTATTTCTATGCGAAAAAAATTATAGATCAAGATCACGAATAAAGTTAAATAGACAGTTTTTTTAGTTTATGTTATTTAGACGAAATCGTTTTAAACAACAATGTTCTTTACATACCAATCGAATATTGTCTTGCGATGCCATCAGGTGATCTCACGATTCTTACGACATATTTTGGGTATAAATATTTAATTTCAAATATTAACAATGTTATATAATGTAAAAACAAGAGTATATCTATATAGGATGAGGTATATTGAAGAATTTGATCATAATTTAAATTATTGATACTATATAATAAAAGTTTCCAAACATAATAGGTCCAATAGGCACATAAAATTAATAATAACCAAACTAACATTAATGTTTTATACAAATGAATACGAGGAAAGCATTCAGAACGACGACGTCTAAACGAAAAGTTAAACAAAAATGAGATAAATTCCTTTTATTAGTAAATAATATCTTGCCTATAAAATAATGATACAGATCCAATAAACAACAATACTAGTTTAATTGTAATCGGCAAATAATAATAATCAGTTTCTGAACTTATAGCAATTGCTGTTGTCGTTTTATTTGAACGATTATTAAATGGATGAACTTTTGGTAATATTAAGAATAATAATGGTGTGATATAAGATAGAAAAAAAATGAGATAGATAAACAATTTTGATAACCATTTCTTTGTACATTGGAGAGTTGACTTTTCTGATGATTGATTTTCGAAATGACCATCAATCATTTGATCACCATTTCCTCCTCTACAATCAGTTGTCATTAAATCATTATCCAGTCCATTTATATCACTACCAACTTCCGACGTGTAGGCAGTCGCTGTTTCACCCCAATTGTCTTGTGGTAAAATTTTTACTTCAATACGATCATCATCTAAATCCAAATTATTTATTTCTTCATTTTGATCATCACTTGTTGTTGATGTCGGTAGCTCTTGTTGACGTTGTTTTTTGAGTTTATTTCGAAATGAACGTGTTGTTTGCGGTACAAAATTAACATTTTTAGCCATTGACGCATATGATATGCCATTACTATAAGAGGATTTAGGAGGTGATGGTGGTGGTGGAGGTAAGATTAATGTGGGAGGCTGTACAGAATGAGAATGATTAGTGGAACCATTTGCTATCGTTGATTTTATTGACGTTGCTTGGGATGAACTCTTTTCTAAAGAATATGCGTTTGGCTCCATTATCTAAACCAGAGTAAAATAAAAAAGAAAATTGAGATCTTATTACACAAACAAAGAAGTAATAGAGACTGCATTTGATATGGCACAAATATAGACAGATCCACATAAGATATGAGTTAAAACAAGTAGAGGCTCTAGACAAAGGGTCGCAAAAATCACAAGCACATAACAAAGTAGTGACGCAGTCATGAGGCTTATCCAGTACAAAATTGATCTAGCTTTAATGCAAATGAGCTACACAAATTGACAAGTCTATCTTTTTCTCCGTTCAGTTTACAATTAGTGAAACCAACAAGTCATTTACGAGATAAAAGAGATTTCATCTCATGATAAATGATCATGCCTCATTTTCGAAATGGTCTGACTAGTAATTAGTAGACCTTAATCCCATAAATAGAAAATCAAAACGTAAGCTTTTCTCATGATGAAATCGACAATATCACATTTTTCTCCTTTTACATTGAAACTTACCACCTTAACATTTAATAAATGTTTATAACTCGTGTTATAGATTAAGATAGTTCAACAAGTTGATGACGCTATCAAAAACTTGTATGAACAACTGCTCTTCAAATTGGTACTCGATCTCATTACGATCAGTACCCTATTTCTTTGAAGGACTCGCTAAATTGTTTTTCATATACTTACTGATGAATCATTGAACATTAATAGTTCATAGCTAGTTTTCTTATTATTTTGTATCATTTTCTATTCTATCCTTCGCTCTCAAAAAGCGAACTATTTGGGCTTCTTCATTGCTCAACAATATAAACACAAACACATATATCAATCTATACGTTCGTAATGATCACCTCACTGCAATCAATCTCTTTCATATTTACGTGAATGAGTTTAAAATTGAACACATATATTCACTCTTATTCTCTCTCTTTCTCTCGTTTTCTATTGTCTCATTCTCTCTCTCTCTGTGAATATATCTACAGATCATGTTATTTTATGCTACTATGTATATCAAGACGAAATATATCTGTAAGCAATTATTGAGTATTTGTAAAGGCTTACATCAAAGTTCAAACCAAATTGTTTGCACTCTTAGTACTGCTTATTTTCATACATACGCACGAGAAATATGTCAATAATTATAAATTAATAATTTTCATCTATACGATAATTTCAAAACATTTTAGAACAAAATCGCGAAATTTGAACGTAAAACGCTGTTACAAGATTCAATCTCAAATGATTCAGTAGGAATATGTCTCCAATATACATAAACGAATCATGATAACATATACCATACTTTTATGTTTTCCCACACACTTATGATCGAGCTCTAAGCACTAAACGAGAGCAAACAAAACATATGCTTATCTAAGTTTTGTGTCTGTCTTCCAAAGACGCTTCTTTTTCTTCATACACGTATATAAAGTGTGTCTATCTTTAATGATTCATATTCATTACAAAACGTGTTCGACATTAAGTCGGATAGATAACAACTCTGTGTGTGTATTATACTAACAAAGTTGACTGTGAAAGAAATAGACAAAAAGAATTAAAAATATACAGTACAAACACAGACATATAGTTCAATAGTGAGCCAGTCAATTACACAAAATAATAGACGATATGTTTTGTACATCAAGCTAATAACGATTATCGACAGATATCAAACTCTAAGCAGAATCAGAGTACAGTAGTTAGTTCGGATGAGTATTTCGGACAGATTATAAAATTGATTTTAAGTTTCTCTAAGTAAAGCTAATAAAACCCAAAGTTTCTGTGAGAATTTGTGTGACTAAATTAGGACAAAGTAGGCGTATATTTTCTTTTGCGCGCTTACCGAAATGACTATACTCGCACTTGTACACGAGAAAAAGTTTCTTCTTTTGTTCTAAAAATGATAGTACAATAAAGAGGAAATTTTTCATTTTTATTCAAAAGATCTCGTCTTTCATGCATTCTTCATCAGCTGACAATTTTGTTTCGACATAAATCAATGACATTGTTCTCATTTTGAATCACAAACAGCGGGATGAATATGTCACAACGATTCACTGTAACCGATGCATACCCATTTCAAACCACAGTTTTAGTGCATCATCTGATTCAATTCATCAGTCTAAAACATTACAAGACAATTTCTAATTATTACGTTCGCTTTTATTTGAATCTATTTAAGGACCCACTAAAGGTTTAAAGTGATCAGAACGTTGACGAAAAAAGATCGATATAGTTACATCTGTTTCTCAACTATATCTAGGATTAGCTCCATAACACGTGTTATAACCTCCAACAACGGTCTGAGCCGATTAATGTTAACCTTTTAAGTTTACATTAATCATTTCATCTAACACCTAATAATTCACGACCTTAATGAGAATTCAATTTGTTTAATCAAAACCATATGTTGATTTAAAGTATTTGTGAATGTGTAAACATGTCTGTATACATAGAAGAGTAATAGATAGTGAAAGCAAAAAAGAACGATGAACACAATGATTAAAAAAACAGGTGAAAAAAGACGACACTTGATCATAGCCACATAAAATAGAAGATAACGCTGATTAAAAATTAATCAATTATTTCTTAGCTATGGTAAATAAGAAGCTAGAAAACTTAGTGTAAAAAAGGGATTTAATGTATTGGTACTTTTTTCATCATCACCTACACGAACCTGTTTCCAGTCTTCTCAAAATGATTGCAATCAGTCATTAATGATGCATGCCTCCAAATGACTGATGACTGTAATATTTCTCAAGGTATCCTTGATTTTATTTACAAATAGTCAACTGTTGAATTATAAATTTGAAACTTACTGTGTATAAAAATTTCGCATTATGTACTAAATCTTCCATGTTTTATTTGTGTTGCTGTTCATTCAAACAAAATCAGACTCTTTTATGCAAATGCATGTTCATTTACTCATGTTTCTTCTTTTTCTGGAGAATAAAAACTGAAAAAAAGAAAGAAGTTATAACGCCAATCTTTTTTATTTAACAAAAGATTACTGTACATGTGCACTAGAAAATTTCTCTTTTATTAAAAAAGTATTAAATATTCTCTTCAGTAACACAGAACTAATAAAGTTTTTTTAGTTAAACATCGTACATGCCAGAATAGAAGAACTAATCAACAAACAATTATAGACAATAACAGAAAAAGAAATGAAATGATCATCAAATGTACATCGTCGGTTACAACTGACATATTTGTTCAAACTTCAAAACATACTATAAATTTTATAATTATGTAGTCAGTTAGTAAACCGTATCTAATTGTTGAAACAAACTTTATGGAAATTTTATTTAATTACAACGGCTTAAAATCGAAAGAACTTTGTTTCTTCTAATTCGTTTACTTGACAAAATTTCTGCACTTCTTAACAACGACAGTATCTAGTAAGCATCCTAGCACAGGTCAAACAATCCTACCGTAGGATCCTACAAGATTCTTATAAGATCCTACTTACTTAGGATCCTGTAAGATCTTTCGAAAATCTTGTAGGACTTTGTAGGAAAACCTCAAAGCAGAAAAATCCTGCTGTAAGATCCTACAGGATCTTATTGTAGGACTGCAGTAGGATTTTCTGGTGGTTTATCCTACTAGATTTATTGTTTTTATTTGTTTAATTATTCTCTGATCCCATCTAGCCTGAATGAGGTGATTCTCAGCTGGGATAAACCCAAGGGTTGTGAGTACTGACTCACACGCCGTCGAACGACAGCGAATTTAGATAGCTCACAGTCGGTACGAAAATTTGAAACTAAAAGAAATACAGTACAGTATAGTTGTATTTATATTAGAATTACTGCAGAACACGTCCGTGATTGTGTTCTCGTATAGAAAACGAAAAGAAAATATATGCAGAACGAAAAAGCAGGAACCCTACAAAATCCTACACAAAATATTACCGTACGATTTTGTAAGTAATACATAAGACTCCTATTATAGGAATCTTATAGGACTTTTGCTACCGTCCTATATCAAGAATCCTGCGGAATTTCTGCCGTAGGATTTCATAGAATCCTACAACATGAATTGTACAAAATCTTGTAATTCAACAAGATCCTATAGGATCTTATAGGATTACTTGTCCTGAGATCAGTAGTTTATCGGCGAATAGTAAACTTGCTACGATCTCCTTTTCAAAAACATCCCTAAAAACATGTTGTATCGATGTTTAATCACACTGTATTCGATCTTAATAAATAAGAAGGTAATCCAGTTCATTCCATTTTCCTAATTTTTGACATTAATACTATTTGACGCATAGATTGCAGTTTCTAACGAATCATAATTTATTTTTCACGCAATCTTTAAACGAAGATTAAATCAAGGTCGAAGAAAACATATGAATATTTTTCAGTAATATAATGAAGAGAGGAGATATACAGTATCCAATTATCATACATATATGGCTTTACAGGCAGTGACACTTTATCAATGATAAAAACAAATAGAATGCACATTTTGAACAATCAGGAGAAGAATGTAAGAAATACATGTTTTCTACGAAACGGGAGCAAGTTTACTATTCGCAGATAAACTACTGGTGTCATGCTTACGTCGTCGTTAAGAAGTGCAGAAATTTTGTCAAGTAAACGAATTAGAAGAAACAAAGTTCTTTCGATTTTAAGCCGTTGTAATTAAATAAAATTTCCATAAAGTTTGTTTCAACAATTAGATAC